AAATCGGTACTATAGATATTTAACCAAGGGCAGGCTAGAAAACATTCTTTCAATATTCGCAAATAGCTTGGATTGTGTCATTACTCAAAACAAAGAGCATGGGGTTTTTCTACTGGCCATTAACGAAAGGAAGGGTAGTGCAGCTCATGGTCACTCTTTTCTTAACCTTATATTCACAAACACATGCTGCTCTTTTGCTATGATTTCCTCGGAAAGGCAAGAATGTGTGACTGTGCAATCCAAAGCATCACAGGCTTTATCTGAACATGAGATCTGCGTGATTGGCATTCCTCTGCATTAGCGCGGGAGCGATCCAGGGAGTGTACAAAACATCAGCAAAGTCTTATAGGTCTTGATAAGCAAAGTGAACCATTGATGTATGAATGTGCACCGCGAATCAAATAATAAGCTTAGATGTATCAGAATGATGAATAATTTTTGCACCAGAAATTTTTGAGGTTTAGCAAAATTTTACGAAAATTGTTAATATACAAAATGACATACGGCTACGATACAAGCTCATCAAAAGCACTCAATTAGTTTCAAGTCCCATTTGTTTAACTTGCTAGAATGTTTACTAAAGTTTGATTTTAGTTTTGGTTCGCTTTTGTGATCTACCACTTCTCAAAGAGGTTTGTTTTGCGAATGTCTCTACAAAGTTATAATTCTTGAATTTTCCTTTTGTCTTCGATTCAACCTCTGATTTTCCAGAATGTATAGGGTTTGATCTGGTTAGAGCGTTTTCGAAACGAATTTCTTATTTTGTTTGTGCAAGAATTATTCAACAAGACCAGTCATTTACATGCACCAGTAGGAGGAAAAGTTTCTTAGCTGAATAGCAATACTATGTAATAAATACAGATGAAGAAATAGTAAATGAGAGGCAATAGATGGGTTTAAAAATACAAACGACTCGGATTCAAATGGTAGTTTTTGGCCCTTAAAAGGTTAGTGCACTTGGTGTCCACTTACTGCAGTTGACTGCATTCTTGGTAAATTCTTACATGCACATTTTGGGCTGCGCAAAATTGTGAACTTGAAGGTGGGATAAATTTGTTCCATGGTCATGTAATCGCTTAACTTTGATCATGACATTACTGCATTACTTAGCAGGATATAAATATAATAAACTGAAAATTGAATAAGAACTTCTAAGTCAGTAGTTGTGTGAAGCACAGAACAGTCATTCGTACATTAATAGAAAAGAAAGAAGTGATTGAGCTTTTTTCTTCAAAGGTGGTGCATATTTAACCTTCTGATTTAATTTTGACAAACAACAACCATTTTGTGTTATGATGTTTCTCAAGCATTAGATTTAGGAATACTACAATAGGGGAATCTGCCAACCCCTTGCAAAACCACTTTCCACAGTCAATTATCGACCGAAATTCCAGGATATAGGAGCAAAAAATGCCCCCCCCCCTCAGTTACTTCGGCACATGCTTCAACAAAAGCTCTTTTTCCAAGGAGAAGTTTAAAAATTTGTAACGACTTTTTTTCAAGAATTTGAAAAAACTCACCAGTACTTGGAAAGACGACATGACGGGAGTGCTGGAATCTGTTAGAAACCTGTTGTAGTCGAATCGATGCGGTCTTTAGTGTTCGCTAGTGCCCAGCGCGAATTTCGCTTGAATGCGCAAGGACACTAGCGAAGTGCCCGCCCATTTACAAGAAATTTTCTATCAGATTTTCTGGCTCTCATATTTTGGACCTTGCTTATTAGTCCTCACCACTTAGCTTCTGCATTGTAGCCCATTTTTCTCCCAAAAATAAAATGAAAGTAAAGGTTTTAGCACTCACCACCGGGTTAGGCATGATTATCCGCAAGTCCGGCTCCTCGAATGGCTTTAGCAAGTCCATGCGTAGATTTCGCTGAAATAGATAAATTCAGCTCAGTGTCAGCAACTGCATTTATACAGAATGCTCAAGGACAACGGAAAGTTCCGTACACAGAAGAAAAAAGTGAAATTTAGCCAACAGAGCAAATCAGAAGCAACCCAGAGAGCAAATTTTTACGATTTTCGCCAAATTTTGCTCACGTTGCAGTACAGTTGCTATTGTGGGAATGTGTGTAATTTAGGAAACAACCCGAATAGTTCTACCTTTTACTTCGCTAATGGAAAAAAGGTGAACGATGAAAAACACATCTTACTGGTAGACAACGCCTTGCGTTCTATTTTTACTCTAGTGCTAGTGTTAACTTGTCGTTCACGCCTAAAATTAGTAACCACAAGCAAAAGAGTTCAACTTTATTGAAAAATAGAGAACATTTTCGATAATGTTATTTTTTGCGAAACATTTTCTCGAGTAGAAACATGATTTTACTAATCAATTTTTTTCTTAATAGCGAATTTTTTTACACTTGATGAATGCATAGAAATAAAAACTGATGTTCAGAGTATTTTCTTCTTTTGTAAATTCTTCTTCTTGAAAAGTGATCATTCAAAAGTGCAGATGGTATATAGCTACCTCAAAGAATTATCTCAACATAAGCCAAATTTTACTAACTGCAAACGTCTAAAAAATGGCGATTAATTCTGGACGAAGTCAAATTGGTATTCCATGTGATTTTTCGAATTTAGCAATGAAAAGATGCGAACGAAAACTTCTGAGGACAGTATAGGGCGTAAAAAGAAGTCCAGTGTTTCATTAATCAAAAGTACTTGAGCACTTCACATCTGATGATAAAAATTAAGTTGTGGAATTGTGCACATTTTGAAAGTCATTATTTGCGTCATGTAAAGGACACTGAATACAAGGGTGACAAGTTAGTAACTGATCAAGTGTTTACTAACTTTTTCCATGAAGTGATATATGAAGACATTTTCCCCAAAAACTTTTCCACATACTTCACACTGTTTACTCCTATTTCTTACACGAAGTTTCGTTATCCATAAATCTCCCACTTTACAGTGTTGCATTTCTTGGAAAGCAACAACATCCCCGTTGGGGAGGGGATTGCAACTCAAAGAAAGCTTTATCTTAAAATTTCTGAACTTTTTAACTTAAACAATACACCGGAACTTCCACAGGACAGGCCAGATTTGCAGCGGTTCCGCAAGATTTGTTCATAACAAGAATGGAAACGTTGAAAATGA